CAAAGTCAGAGACACCGAGCTCAAGAGCATGTCGAGGAGTTTGAACACCCTTGGCAATGTTGGATTTTGGTGAGTCGCGGTGAGACTTTCTGGAAGACTTTGCGAAATGTGATGTTAAGTTTCCACCGTATGTCGACTTGGATGATAATCGTACATTCTCTTCAGATACCTTTCTCTCGGGTGGAGTAAAAGGAGATGAGTTATTGATCGAGAGAGTTTGAGTGCGTGTACGAGGAGATGGGGTCAAAGGCATACGTCCGCCAGCGGTGCGTGTGGAAAAGAGCCCAGTGTGGGACTTAATGGGGGTTGATACTGCGGTGGCCATTTTGCAATATCAAGGTATGATCTCGGTCGAAAGACAAATTAATGAATCGATCGATGATAGGAGTAGATTCGGTATAACGAACGAGCTCCAAGAGACTCAACCTAATGGTTCCTGGTATTGTTTGGGGTTAGTGTAATTCGTATTTGTGCTCGATATATCGAAAAGTTCTTCTATATAAGAATGGCTTAAGAGTCGGGTAACGATCAATGGCGTGCGGCAAAAAGATCTAATAGACTTGAAGTATTCTTGTAATTGAAGGTATGTTGTTTTATGTTTTGTATGTTATGTGATTATGGGTGGTGAGAATGAAGATGAGAGGTAAAGGTACGGAAGTATAGAGAGATTGCAAATGTTGCATGAAGGAAGAAAGAAAGTCTTTGAGAAGGGAATATTCAAGAGCTTTTCTACTCGTTTGTTTACTCCACTGAATTAGTTTGGTTGTGAGGGGCAACCATCCCGCAACGATTAAAAACGTAAAAATCGAACCTCAGGCAATAACTTAGCACTGTTTGCAATCCTGAGCCACAAATCCCAGAGCGCGTATATTAATTCCGACCCGCCGACCCACCTGCAGCCCCCATGGACTCTTTCCAAAATACTTCAGATGTTCCATCTCATCGTCACCCGTGCATGATTTTTATGTATATTGAGGTCGAAGAATCATGAAAAGTCAAATGCTATCAAGTACATCTTGAATTGCCGTTTGAACTGTACACACCGTAAAATACAATTCATACAATCGTCCTTGTCTCACCAAACAGGAGAAATCCCCATCCTGCTTCTTTGCCTTCTTTTGGTTTGATCTGTCTGTCCGCCATTTTCTATTCGTCTGGGGAGTTTGTGCACATTCGCACAGCATCAACTCTTTTTATCAACCAATCTAGCATGACCACATAGGATACCACCTCTTATTATGGCTCAGCCTTCTACACCCGGCGGTACACCCTACTCCATCTTTGGCCCTGGCTCTTCTACTCCTACCCATACCAATCAACTTTCGGGAGGTCCTCCTGCCACTCCAGGTGCCGCCCCTTCAAGCAATACTTTCTTAATGCCGAATTCGCCCGTGAAGAATAGATTGGGTATGGATGGGTATAGGCCCAAGGTTACAAGAACTCTTGGTCAGGTAATTCATAAAACTCTCGACACTTTGCGGACTATTTCCTAACCCATGTTCGAACTCATATAGCGCCCAGCCTGCCTTGTCAATGCCTCTGTTACGTATTGCGGCAACAATCAGATATATGCCTTTGGTGGTTTCGATCAGTATACCGACGAGGTCTACAACCATGTTTTGAGACTTGATCTAGTTAGTCACCAATGGAACTTGGTCGACAATTATGGCGACATTCCCGGTGTACGAATGGGTAGGTCTGATATGTGCTCAATGCGTTCACAGTTTTAACAAGCCTTACAGGTCATACCGCTACACTCTATCAAGGCGAGAAACTACTCATATTTGGTGGTGAAAACGAACATCGTACATACCTCTCTGACCTCATCATTTTCGATCTCAAGACCGCACACTGGACCCAACCAACTGTATCTGGACCTATACCAAAAGGAAGAGCAAGACATGCTGCTGTTTTGCACGAGGATAAGCTATTTATCATTGGTGGTATTACCGGTCATAATAATTATGTGTTGGATGATATTTGCTACCTGGACTTAAAAACCTTTACTTGGTCTCGAGCATGGCGTTTCGTTGGACGATTTGATCACTCGGCGTATTTATGGGGAGATAGAGTTTGGGTCTTTGGAGGTCTCAGCGAGGATATGGATAAGATTGGTGATGTATGGTGGTTGGACTTTAAGGGTAGCCCAGCATTCGAATCAGCACCTTCGTATGGTTCCATGGACAGGCATGCAGCTCTCAGTCGTTCTCCTCGGCCTTCGTTTTCAATGTCTCAGTCTGCTGTAGGCAGTTCAGGTTATGCCGCAAATTCAAGCAGCGCACAGGTCAATCCACCGTCATTTCAATTGACTACTTCTCCTCCTCTTGCTCCTGGTACAATTTCTTCGTTAAAATTCGTATCCGGTCCCAATATACCCGCCCAAGGCTCCGGTATGCATTTCCATGTTTATACATCCGGGACTCTTCTCGATTTCGTCACTCCTGCAGCAACAATAACACCACAAGAGTGTTCTTTATCATCTCTGGAATTGGACACACTGCGTTGGCAAAAACTTGCAGAAGGCCGAGATATTTTCAGACCAGGTTATAGATGGCATTACTGTACTTTGAATGACGAGGGTACAAAGGCTTGGCTTCTTGGTTGTCCAACTGATCCAACAGCAACAGATTTAGGTCCAGGTGGGTTTGAAGAATATCTAAGGTATGTGGCCATTTACTCATTTTTAGATAACAACTATTGCTGATCATTCCTTCTTTAGTGATATAATGGAGATTGATCTTCGACGATATGGTTTACTCGGCAATGGTTTAAATCCCGAGCCTCGAGAAGAAGCTTCGCGATTATCATCCTCTGGTAGAATGAAAGTCGAAACTTCAAAAGGCCTTGGTATGGATTTAGCCAAAGTTTTCAATCAAGCACCAGAAAGTGGTAGTGGGGCAGATTTTATCATCACTGCGTCAAAAGATGATGAGTGGGATGAGGATGATTCAAGCTCCAGAGGTTCTATCAGTCAGGTTCAACAAAACTGGTTGGCTCCTGATGCACCAACATCTCCTCCAATCCATGTCCACAAACTCATTCTCCAAGCTCGATGGCCCCACTTTGCACGCTTATACAATGCGCAAATGGCAGAATATCATACAAAGAGAATGCACATACCCGAACCTTATCCAGTGGTTAAGGCATTTTTATACTATCTGTATACTGACAGTATCCACCCAGATGACTGTGCAGAATTAGATGACGTTGCAGGGCTTTTGGTCATGTCAAATATCTACAACATCCCACATCTTAGATTGTTATGTGTTAATCGCTTATCGAAGGAATTGGATGTCGATCACGCATGTGTTATTTGGCATTCCGCTGGTATCGCTAACGAAGAATGGTTACGCAGACGTGCTGCCAGTTTTTGTCTCACGCATTGGGGCAGAGTTGTTCGCACGCCGGGATTTTTAAGACTGCCACGCCAAGCCTTGGTTGATTTATCGCAGGAAATTGATATGGAAGGTCGTGTTGTAGGAGGTGAGCATACTTTTTCATGTCGAAGATTTTACTGAACACTTTTAACACAAATTTTTAGGTGAAGAATTAGAATTTGTTGGAGGACTTGGTGGCTCTCGTTTTGGTGTAGGTGGTGTGGTTCGAAAGACTAGTGTTAGTAGCACTCATACACAGGGTGTGGGTTCTGAAGTTGATGACAATGAAGAAATGGAAATGAATTAATGAAACGAATTGAAATGGTATAAATAAGATTCAAATTGGGTCCATATTGTGGCTGGGCGTTGGCTACTTGCACATTTTGCATCGGGAATGTCTAATAGGCACGACAAGGAAGGAAAGGGAAGCATTATTAGGCGCCTGGATCCTTGCTATTATATTTGGTAGTTTTCAGTAGGGAATATAGAGATACCATGTTACGACACTAATATTATTATGAAGTAAATGATAGCTTTGAATGTGCAAAGCGTGGTGACGATGAAGAGGCCTTTGGTGCTGGAGCCCTCGATGAAAGGTTCTTTAGTGGCTTGACCTGCACTTTGGTGTCTACTTTCAAATTGAAAATACAATAATCGTCTAGGTAGGTATCTGTAGTTCAGCTATAGGCCATATCAACCTCATTTGGTTTATGAAGTTACAACGATTTGATTGTTCAAAGTCAACTCAACTCCACATATAGATTACTACAAATCCAACCTTTGCTATTGGATTATGAATTGATTGGCCGTATCACTTGTTGGGATCCAGGAATAATCAGAGTTATAATCGGTGGGTGCATGGACTAGAAAAACACTCCTCAAATTTACAATAGCCGTAATTCGGACTTTATCAAATTCTCTTGGGAATCATGCATCTTATTGTTGGATCTGTATTGAATTAGTGGGAATAATCTCGAATTTTTAGGGAAGCATTGAATGTATTTCAAAGGACCTCGAGTGAACTCTCGAATTGTTTGGTGAGGGCTACTGTTGATACCCGTGGACCTACTGGGTAGTGAGTGTGATATTACGTCACCTGAATGAAAATAGTCATCGATGGGTTGAGTGTTAAGCGAGAAGATTCTATCTAGGTACTTGAGGTTACACTGCACTCATGCATACATATAATATATTAACATTGAATTGGTGCATTGATATTGAGGTATTCTGTTTCACAGTTACGGAGTGGTGAGTACGTAAGTATTGTATATAATTTCATGATAACTCTTGCGGGCTGATTTGTCGAAAATGAACTGAAGGTCTGTACTCATGATTGCTCTTGACATGTACCAATTCCATGTTTATAGCGCCACAACTACTGAAAGGTTTCTGTTGACTTGCAATGCGTGTTTGGATTTTGAAGTGCAGACTAACTTGTCTCCAAATTGACAGTGGAAAAAATATGCGCTAGTCACTAGGTCGAATACCCTTGAAGAATATAGTAGTGCTGAACTGTGCAGTAGCACCTCATCTCTTATTCCTGAATGTCTCTTCTATCCAAATTTTCTCTCTACCGCTGCACAATCAGTACTCAGAAAAAATGGGAATTGGAAGTCCCCTGTCTCAGCGATTTCGGACCCCCTTCCTCTCATTCCCATCCAGCTTCTTTCTCACTCCACCATTTCCCTGCATAATCCACATTTGCTTTTCTCTTTCCTGCAAAAGGTTCTCACTCTCCTCGTTGTCCCTTCCCAAATTCCCCACTCGTTCCTCCAAAACCACTTCGAGCTTCGCATCTATATATTCCAATATCCTCGCATCCTCTTTCTCCTTCTCGCCTCCGCTCGCCTCTCCATTCTTCTTCCAAAACCTCCTCCCCAACCCCCGCTCCGCCTTCCCCACATTTCTCTCCCTCATCTTCTCTTCTAGAATCCTCTCCCCCTCTCTCACATCTTCCTCTCTCTTCTCCTGCTTTTCCCAACATGCTGCACAGAGTCCATTCCCGCTCTTAATAACTTTTCGTTCATATCTGATCTTGTACGCTGGACATATATTCGTGCTATCGATATCTGTAGAAGCGTCCTTAATAGGATTCGGACAGCGAATAACATATGGCCGCCAACTGTGTGTGCAGATGCTATAGCGGTAGGTTATGCTGCGACACATTTTACCAGGTGACGTTGTAATGGTCGATGAGGGATGTATAAGTAATGGATAAGTGGTTGTAAAGTGTTATGAGTAAATTGATATCGATTGAAATAATTGGGACTAGAAAGTGTTAGATTGAATCCTGTGCGGAGTGGGAAGAGGAATATACTAGATTTCTTCTGAATGTGCTATTTCAGCTTTTGATTCCAAATAATACACTCGTGTTCCTCTTCTTCTCCTTTGAACTTCTCGTTATGTGATGTGTTCGGTTTTCTCAAACTCAACTTTGAAGATCTTGTTGATATTGCTCGGCGTATGCCCTTGATGCACGCTTCAATTTATTTGTGATTTAGGATTCAATATTTTGCGTTCTCGTTTGTTGTCTCGGTTGCCCATAAAACACGTAATAGACGCTTCAAGTGTCCAAGTTATATAGCTCCTAATATATTCAATAATCGGCGATTGATATCTCTGGCTATACAAAAGCTTCGCCGTATCATGGAAGGCAGTGAAGTATTCAGTTATCCGAGCCTTTGGATTGTTTATCGTATTCACTGTTTATAACGCTGCTGAATGTATAGAATGTATAGTACGAAAATGATATGTGTCTGGCTAATGAGAATGAGTGAATATACGAGGATTCAGAACTACCATATATTACCTACGTCAGATATTGTGTAAATAAGCAAGCAACAACTAAGCTAAGAACCGAAAATTAACAAAGTAAATAAACCCACTCATCGTCTAGATTGATCATCACCACCATCGCCATCACCACCATCACCATCACCATCATCCTCTTTCTCCTTCTTCTATACATCCTCCATGCAACAGGTACCATGCACTATACTCCATCCCACATCCATATCCTACTTCTCCCTCTAACCATCTCCCATCCCTCCACATCCCCCATTCCCCTCCACATCCCCCATTTCCCTCTCCTCCCACAAAACCCAGCCCCCATCACAAACATATCGCAAAAAAAACCTCTTCTCAATCCAACTCCACAACTTGTTCCTTCCTTCCACACCTACTACATACATCCCACCCTCCCATCCACACTCCTCCTTCCCCTTTCTTCATTTCCAACTTCCCATTTTCCCCCTTCCCACACCAATCACCCATCACCCATCACCCATCACTCAAACTCCCCACTCCTCACTCACCCCATCTCTACAATCACCTACTCAGAAAAGAAAAAAGGTTATTCCCCGTCGACTCGATCCGGCTAAACCATCAAAAGCCAACTGCAACTACACCGTTGAAAATGTCACAATGATATCTCATTCATTTTGCTCCTATTGAGCTTCGTATGACCAAAATCATAACCAAATTCATAATCAAAATCACAACCACAACCACAGCACAACAGAACACAACAGATCAAAAGGGAATTAACAATACACTAGGCTGTAGATACCAATCGATAGATGGCGTAATTTTACCTGATTCTCGCATTCTTCACGTCAAAAACAAAAATAAAAACAAGAACAAAAACGGATTCACATAGTTTGACTAAACATGGAAATGGAAAATGAAGATGAAAAAGACATTTAAGATTCTATCAATGGAGAGGAAGGAATCGCATGTGGTATTAATATTTCCTCTCCATCGATCTCTCTAATCCCAAAACTCTGGATATTATATCATAGCATCCACGTCACATCCTATCATACAATCAACCACTCTACCCTCCACTTCCCCCCAATCCCAGCTACCCTGCACCCCTATTTGACCCCACTCCACGCCATACCCAAAAGCACATCTCTCCCCTCCTCCCCCTCCCACTCAATCCCCACCTCTATTTTCTCCCTCGCGCCCCCACGACTCTGCAACGCCACCAATCTCTCCCCCCTAAAATAAACCAACACACCTCCCTTCCCATTCCCCTGCGCCGTAACCCTATAAAGAGGTCCCGCACTATGCAACACCTTCTTCTCAGGAACAAACTGTAGATCATTCTCAATACACCAATCTTCCACCTTCTCCCTGAACGATACTTCTTCCGAGACCTGTGCCTTTTTCGGTGGCTGCACGGTTGCAGGTTTGGGGGGGAGGGAAGACACCGATGGACTTTCTGGCGCGGGAAGATTTCCCACTTTCTCTCCCAGTCGCAACGCGTTCTTGATCATCTCATGTCCCTTTTCAAATTCTTCCTGTATCGCATTCAACTCTTTGATTTCTGCTGGGAAAACCCCATCACGCCACCACTCAAACCATTGTCCAATTTCCTCATTCGGACCAACAATCGTGAGCCATTGATGCAACACATGATGCCACATCGGAAAGACCGTATCCACAATCACCTGTCCCACAACCCTCGGTTTCAGTATATCTTTCCAAGCGAGTACTCCTTGAAGACTGGACATATATGGAGACTGATCATTCGGATCGACTCTAAAATTCTTCTCATTTTTCAAGAACTTAGCCATGCTAGGAAGAACATGATTCATAATTAACGGGGTCCACGTATCATTCTTAGGACTAGGACACAGCACTTCGCGCCATTGCGAAAGACCCGGTATGACACCTCTATGGAAATCCCAAGAATCAATTAGATGTCTAAATTTGCGCTTGACGTCACTGACAAGGCCAGTTGAACTTTTCGGATCGGCGTGATAGGGGGGTAAATGTTGTAGCCAGGGAAATAACCAAAGATGAGGCAATTCGTGATTTCTTCGCTTCTTTGGATTCCAGGATGAGACTGCATCATTAAGTCTTCCTACGATTGCCTGATCTAAAATCTGTGATGCAACAAACTTTGGTAATAATCCTTGCCAAGTATCTAAAAATGCCAGTACTGGGGCGGGATTGTATACATCCCAACTTTTGTTGATAGATGATACAATTTTAGGGAAAATAATCTTATAGATCATACTTTCATAAGGAGTCGTCGATTTAACCCTATTCTTATGCGAGGTATTCATGAAAGAATCCTGACCAACAAGAGCCTTCTCGTTAGTCACGGCTCCTAAAACATGTCGAATTTTGTAAAGATTCGGGACCATCCCATTCAATTTGGGATCCTCAAGAGGTTGCCAACCTTCCGTAGCTTGACGAAGAAAGGGATGAACGGCAGCGACAGCAATATTTGACAATTCTTCATTAGCTCCAGATATGTCAAGCCCATCCACGGTTTTCAGTGCTTCAATTACTGGATCCCACTGCCCATCCTGTACAGCCTTGGCAATACCCTGAATGCTCTCCGCAAAAAGTTTCATTTGCTCATATTGCCGCTGTTCTTCATCTAGTTCTTGCTGTTGTTGAATGAGCTCCATTTCTGTATAAGCTTTCCTCTCCTCAAGATTCTTCCATTCTTCAACAAAGGCCGATAGATCATTCTGGGCTCTTCGGGCTAATTTCCTATTCTCGATTTGTTCCACGCTTTCTGTCTTTGGCGGTCCAGCAGTAGGAGTCAATATTCCAGATGTAGAAGTCAGTAATTTTTGACCGGGACCAGTCATATCCAGAATCGGAGCAAATGCTTCCGGAATTTCCAAGCCAGGCGCAGCTCGTTGTACTTCCTCCACCGTTCGATATTTTGGCTTCGGTGCTTTTCGAGGAGTGCTCACTCCACTCATGCCACTATCCGTACCACTTGTCTTTGGCTTCCTCTTACGTTTCCTCCTCTCCTCATCAGAATCTTCGACTTTCTCCCCCCTCAATTTCGCTTGCCGTTTCTCCTCTTCTTTTTCTTGTTTCGATTTCTCAGCTACCGATCCCAAACCTACGCCTTGCGGTCGCAAAGTGACCTCAATAACACCACTTCGACCCTGTCCCTCTTTACCCAGACCTTGTCCCTCTTTATAACCCATCTTAGCCATCATCCTCGCCGCAAATGACATCCCGTTAACCGGTGTCGCGCCACCACCTGTTTTTTTACCACCTCGTCCACTCGTGGGTGTAGAAAACGCACTCGGCCTTGCGATCCTCGGTGTCTCTTGCTCATCGTCATTATTCATTAGTATAGGATTATTCGCCGAAGATGGCACAAAGCCCCGTCCCAAAGGCGTACTCGAATTCGAACCCAATCCAGTATTTTTCGATTTGCTCGGCGCTGGACTCTGAAATCCTAATCCCTTCCCAGGAGCACCAAATCCCAATCCTCGAGGCGCATTCGCTTCTTCTTCGTAATCTCCCATTTCTACATCTTTTCCCCCATTATTCGATCCCGTTTCGACGTCATCATCGTCACCGTCCTCGTCATCCTCATCGTCATCATCATCCTCCTCCCCTCCTCCAACCCTCTCACCCCCCGCCACAAAACTCATCCCCTTCCCCCTCAAACTCTTCTTCTTCCACCTCTTCCCCGGACCCCCCTCATCCTCACTCTCACTCCCAAAAACACCCAACGCCGCACTTTCCTTCGCATCCCTACCCGTGCGCCTTCGTTTCCTCGGATTATAATCTGCGAATTCTTCTCGAGGATCGGTTGATGGATGTAAAAAATCATTTTCATCACCCGAAGATTCGTCAGACGAATCGCGAGGGAATGCGTTCATAGACATTGTGATTTGAAGTGGGTGGTGAAGTTTGATTGTATGGAAACTCCCAAGAGTTGTTTTATTTTGATGCTCATGGAAGGTTGAGATTCGGATGTGACAGCCTTGCTTAGTCAGGATGCTCTTGAGCGCGGTACATTGACATCTCCATCCGGCATAGCCCCAAATAATATTCCCTTGCAATCCCCCAGCATCAACACACGACCCTACTCCACTTCTGCCCTTTTCTGAAGCGATACGATTTCTCTACTTATCCAAAGGGGGGCGACAAGTTCCCATTTCGCTACTCCTCATTCCTCTCACTCCTTACTCGTAGCTACAACACACATCAAACACTACCCATGTATAACATCACACAAACACATGCAATCCCCCAACACACGATCAAACCATCATCAATCATTTATTAATTCATCGTTACGAGTAGAAACAAAAAAGTGAATCAAAGACCTCCACTGAATAATGCACCCCTAGGTATAATGAAAAACAAATGCACTCCACCACCCTCACTCCACA